AGCTGGTGGCAGATTGCAAACTGAAGAAGGACTCTCAGCCCTACTGTCTCCCCTTACTGCTGTGTGACCTGCTCAGGTCCTTCATCTTCTAGGGGATTCACTTCCTCTTCTGCTCTGATTTCCTCCTCAGGTTCTAAAGGACAGAGAGCAATCCAGGAGGCAGGTGACCTTTGTGACCTGCTGTTGCTCTGACTGAGAGTTGTTATTGTCATGGTGGGATGAACATGGTTCTTGGTGTCCAGTCCTTGGAGAGGATGAGGCACAAGAATGGCCGGTCTCTTTCCCATGTGGTCAGTCCTTCTGCATAACTAAACCAAAGGCAGAGAACACAAGATAGTAGGGCTCTTTGCCAGAGGATGGAGAAACCATTTTAGTCAGCTCTGATAGAAGAATCTGGAATGTTTTTCTACACTGGATAAGGAGGTCTTTATCTTAGATCTTCTATAAAAAGGGAGTTAAAATGGGAAGGGGGAAAGACATCCTAAGAAGAGGCATGAGGAGACAAAGGATCAGGAACACACTGGAAAGCATTTATTAGTTTTTTGCACATATGAACACCTACTATATTCCAGGAGTTGGGCACAAATTTGAGGAAGAAACAGCCCTAAGCTCAAGATGTTCCTGGGGGCAGACAGGGACTCAGATGAGCCAGAGAGATGAAAACCATGACAGGGAAGCTGAGAGCACACCTGCAGGGACAGGGACAGGCCAACCAAATGCCCCAGTTTGTTCAGGACCACCCAAGTTTAGCAGTCTCATGTTCCGTCAAACTGGATCAGTTTGTCCTCCCAACTTGGGGCTTTGCATTATGGACTACGGAGTGCCCAGCCAAAATTTATATGCTAAAGCCCTACAATATGACTGTATTAGGAGATGGGATCTGTACATAGGAGATAAGGTTCAAATGAGGTCATTAGGTTGGATCTGACCCGATGTGACCAGCACCCTTATAATATGACATCAGGACACAGACACCCAGAGACAAGACCCCTTGTAAAGACACAAGGAGAGGACTCCATTTGAAAATTCAGGAGAGAGGCTTCATGAGAAACTAACCCTGCCAACACCTTGATCTTGGGTGTCTAGCCTCAAAGAACTCTGAGAATATACATTTCTATTGTTTAAGCCACCAGATCGCTGGTGCTTTATTATGGCAGCTCAAATAGTCTAGAGCCTTTGGTCAGAGCTAGACTTGAAACAAGATGGGGTAGTCATTCACCCAAGGTGTACAACCTGTGCATAAATACAGAAATAGATTTGTGGTCTAGTAGAATTCCGGTACACGTGGTTATGTTGGAGATATAGGCAGGTCCTTCATAATAAAGGCCTCATATGCTAAACTGGAGAGTTTGGAAATTGTCTACAAGGACCAGGGGAAACTGGAATGTTAAGTGGACTTGAGATATATGATCAGGCTTGAATTTTAGCCAATTACTAGGCTAAGTACAGCAGTGGCCTGTGGGCCCAAAGAGACTAGATGCTGACAGAGAGCTCCCGTGTGTTTTCAGCCCAGGATCCTGTCTTGGAGGGAACCAGCTGCACAGAGCCCTTTGCTTTCACCTTTGTCCTTGAAGACATGTGTCTAAGGCAAGTTCCTTTGGCCTATTGCTCTCAGTTTTCCCAAAGGTAAACTGAAATCATAAGTCATTACCTTCTCAGCCCACCCACATTGGCAAGGCTGGGTCCTCCCCTGGAGCCTCAAGTAAAGACTGTGAGGACAGGACCCCAGCAGGCAACCTTTGGAGACCCTCCTGCTCCGGCTCTTCCTTCTCCTCTGCTCTTTCTCCCCATATAGGAGTGAGAGGGGCGAGTGAGACATTTTCAGGCCCACCCACTGTGTATCCACCAGGACCTCCAGGCCACCTCTATGCTGGGTGCTGCTTCCTTATTCCTAGGGGAGAAATGCCACGGCAGTCAGCACATGCATGCGCAGTGAAACTGCAGCTGACACGTCACACAGTGCAAGCCCCCGAGCAGCTAACATAAGCACAGGTGCAAAGCAGAAAAAAAAAGTGAGGGGCGAAGGTCAGCTGTGCATCTGTGCTGAGCCCAGGCTGAAAGCTGAGCATTCACAGAGGACATTCGCTAATGGGGAAAGTTCTCCAACACTCATCCCGGCTGGGAAAAGCAAACATTCTTGAAACAGGTGGGGAGAGGCTTAGCTTTGGGGAAGGTTCAGAAAGGAAAAAAAATTAGAGATGCTATCCCAAACATTCACAGGCTGGACACTTGTAGGTGGTGCTGAATCCCACATTCAGGAATGGAGAGGGGCCCCTCTCCTTTCACTTTCAAGGACTCTGCTGGGACGTTGGTAAGTATGCTGAGCTACAGGTTCACGTCAAAGGGCAGGTGACTGTCAGAGACAACATTAATCCTAATGCAGTTAGAACCAGTGCTTGACCACATGTGCTCATAGCGGGTAGAAATCCATTTGGAAAGGGCCCCCTGAGCCTCAAGTCTCTAAAGGCCAGTGGACTTCACACTCATCAGTGAATTTTATTCAGTGCTGAATGGCTAATTTGTTCAATGACTGGTTTGAAGATTTACCAAACACATATAAAAATATATGTAGTAAAGTCTTCATCAATTTACATGGATGGATTGGCAGTCCCTTATAGTCTGTAAGATCGGGGGTTCATTCTCCCAGATCAGGGCTCAATCTCCTCTCCCTAACCCCAAGTTAGATGTCCAGGCAGAGCTATGTGCTGACCATCTTGTGCTTTTCCTCAACCAGGGAATTCCTCTGTGCTCTGGAACCCTCTGGGATCCCTATAACAGCGCAAAACAAACATTCCTTAAATATTGATAAGCTGATGAAATCATACATCAGTAAGAACTGTCGAATTCTGTATAGAGTCAAAAGAATCAAGTTGTTGACAAATCTGTTTATTTGATATGTTCACTGAACTGGCCATTTGGGAAATTGATTCTTTTTTTGTCTTTTATTGAACCAGAAGAGCAGCTAGGAACAAGCCAGCAGGAGAAAATGAAATTGCAGTATGGTGGGAAAAATGGGCCTAGAGAGGGGAAGGAGGGAGTGCTCCATGGACTAGACCAAGAACAGGAGGTGGAGGGAAGTGGCAAAGAGAGAAAGAAGGAGGGAGGAGAATGAATCTGCTTCCCATGCTGAGGATGGAGAGCCTTTGCCATTCTCAAAATGCCTTCCCTTCCTTTTTCTCATTTGATCCTCACACAATCTTGTGATGTGCAAGGCAAATTTTAGATCCCATCTACAGATGAGTCAACATGCCGAGAGATGTGATTCTCCAAGATTAGAGTTAGTACTTTACAGAACTTAGAGCTCAAACCCAGTTCTTGAGACTCTGAGATCTGCGTTCTTGTCCATCTCACAGATGGACTGACAATGAAGAAGGAGAGAGAAACCCAAAGGAAGGGCCATGAGTATTTAATTCACTACTATGTTCTCAGTGCTTTGCACAAAGCAGGTGCATAGAAAATATTAAATGAATGCATGAATTAACAAAAACAAGAGAGACACTAATAGAAATAGCTAATATTGACTGTGCCAAAAATTATCTCATTTAATTTTCAAGCATCTGTGGTCAGTCCTAGTATTAAACCTAGCCTTGCTTGCTCTTGGAATGGTTGAAGAAATCAATGGGCTTCATAACAATGCAACAAGTCTTGCAATGAAGCATGCAAGTCTCAGAGAAAATGCTTGACCAAGCAACGTTTTGCCAAAGGCAAAGTGCAGAGTAGCTTGATCGTGTAACAGGAAACAGAGTCTGTAACTGAATCCTTGAGTCCTGTTTATACTCAGATTCCTGGGCCATTTGGCTCAAATATTTAGGGAAATTCTAAATAGGTGACTGTGCTCAGTGAGCAGAAGCAGTGAGGGAGGGCTCACACTCCTTAGGATCAACAAGTCCAAGGGCCTTGGGCATCATTCCTGCCATCACTCCTGCCCTCTGTCCTTTCTGTTGTGCTAGCTCAGCCATGCATTGACTCTACATTGCCCTCCCTTGGAGACAGACTCTGCTCTCTCATTGCAGCCTACTCGATAACCACAACCAGGTGATATGACCCTTCACATTACCTGGGATCGGAGGGTCTCAAACCTGAGCCTGTAGGGTTTATTAAAACACAGCTTGCTGGGCTCCTCTCTAGAGTTTCTGATTTGTTAAGTCTAGGGTGGAGCGAAGAATTTTCTTTCCTTGCAAATTCCCAGGTGATGCTGATGTTGCTGATCCAGGGAACACACTTAAAGAAGTAGAGCTTTAAGTGAAAATAAAAGTCTTGATCAGGAATTTGCATATTTAAGGATCAAGTGGCAATCTGTGCTGCCTATGTTTTCTCCACAAATCTCCTTAGCACACCCAGCTATTATTTATGAAGGTTATGTGTGTGTTACTGCCTCCACATATCCTAGACTCTGCTTTGAATGCCTGCCTCCTTTCCCCTCCCCACAGTGTCTTTGCCCATGTTATCTTACACAGACCCTTCCCTACTCTGCTAAATCCACTACTCCAGGAAACCTTTTCTGGCCTTTTGTAGCAGGACATGTTCATTCCATATTTGCTCTTGGAATGGTTTATTTATTAGTTTCTACCTTCTGGCTTTGGGGCTCAGATCCTGTTCTTGCTACATCTGTGTCTTATATGCCCTGTTAAGATGTGGGCTTGCTGATGGGCAGTGTAGCACAGTGGTTTAGTGCATTGACTTTGGACTCTGACTGAGCTGGTTTCAAGTCTCATTTCTGCCCCTGATTAGCTGTGTGCACACTCATGGTCAATTCAGTCTCTTGAGGTCATGGTTTTCTCATCTGTAAAGGAGAGAAATTTATATTACTTGGGATGGTTTTAAACCTATTTTCAAATTCTTTGCTACTTCTCCCTTGAATGTGGACTGGCCTTTGTGACTTGTAACCAACAGAATGTTTGGAAGTGATGCTATAAGATTCTGAAGCGAGTCATAAGGGATAATAGAGTTTCTGTCCGGTTCCCTGGAGATGCTCTTGCTTAGAACCCAGTTTTTACATATGAAAGAACCAAGCAAACACCTAGAGATCTGTGCAGCTTTTTGGCAAATAACTCCAGCTGAAGTCCCAGTGGATGGCCATAGTGACTGCAACTCAAGGTGACTCCAGATCTCATCAAGATCTGTCTTAGTCTGTTCTATATTGCTATAACAAAATACCCAAGGCTGAATACATTATAAAGAATATATATATCACAGTTTTGTTGGACTAAGCATGTGGTGTTAACATCTGTTTGAAGCTGGTAAAGACCCTCACTGTATTATGACATGATGGATAACATTATGGTGGGAGTACATGCAATAGAGAGAGATCTTATGGCAGGATAGGAAGGAAGAAAGAGCTGAGACAGCCAAACTTGCTTTGTGACAGCCCATTTCACAAGAACTAATTTACTCCACTAGAATAGCATTAATCTTTTCTCAAGGTGGCGCCTGCTACCGTGACCTAATTATCATCCCTGCCTTTTAAAGGTTCTGCTTCCTCAATACCACCACATAGGGTAACCAAGCTTCTAGCACATGAACCTTTGAGAAACACATGCAAACCATATCCAAACCACAGCACCACACCTCATGAGACACACTGAGTTTGAGCCACCATGGCTGAGCCTAATAAGCTCTAGAACCAAGAGGATATATATATATATATGTAGAAGCTGGCTTCGAACTCATGATCTTCCTGCCTCAGCCTCCTGAGCTGCTGGGATTACAGGCATGAGCCACCATGCCCAGCAAATCAAGATGAGGAAATAATCATTACTATTTTGCCATCACTAGACTTTACAATGACTTGTTCTGCAACAGTAAGTTACAGAGACACTACTTTACATGCATTTTTTAAAAGTTAGATGAGACAATGAAAGAATCTAGTACACAAGCACAGAGCAAGCTCACAGGAAAAAGTCACCTTTCTGTCCATGTACTCTACTGTCCCATCTACCTAACACACAAAATTTGGGTTTTGCTTGTATATTCTTTCCAAGTTGCCTACTCTGTCATCCAGGCATTTATTAGATACCATAGTCCATATTCCATGAGTTTCTTCCAAAGCTCAGAGACAATAGGTCACCTGATGACTTGGTTCTACAGGAGACCTAAAAAAAATGTGACTGTGACTGTCCCTTCTTTCACTTACAAGCTATGCAATGGAGCTGGGTTCTTAGCATTGATATGTTCTTTGACTCTGCTATTCCTCAAATTTCCAGATAACTACTAGGAATCTCTGTCCTTTGTATGATCCTAGTTGCCAAAGGGGCATTGTAATTTTACCTCCATGAAATCCAGGTTTCACCAATGACATGTCAGGGATGCCTCTTTGATTTCTGAGGCTGAGCCAAAGGAGGCCTGGATACTTCAGCCTTCCACTCTTGGGACTGTCCCTTTCAGGACCCCAAGTATTAGTCAGCATTCTCTAGACAAACAGAGCTAATAGGATGTGTGCATGTATATACATGGAGAGCTCTACTTTAATATACTAGCTTCTGTGATTGTGGATGTCGGCTAGCCTAAAATCTGTTGAGCAGGCTGGCAGGTTGGAGCTCCAAGGAAGAGCTGGTGCTGCAGTTAGAGTCAGACACAGTCTGGAGGCAGAACTCTGTTTTCCTTAGGGAACATTTCCCCATAAAGTTCTTCAACTGACTAGATAAGGCCCACTATATTATGAAAAGCAATTTGCTGATTTAGATGTTAATTTCATTTTTAAAATACCTTTATAGTGATATGTAGCCTGATGTTTGACCAAATATCTGAATGCTATGACTCAGACAAGCTGACAAGTGTTCTCTCTCTCTCTCTCTCTCTCTCTCTCTCTCAGAATCTAGCTGCTGTGTCATGAGTCATTTAAGCCACATGGAAAGGCAAGAAGCAGGCACTATGGTCAGCAGTTCCACAGGAACCCAGGCTGCCAGCTGTCCAGCCCAGATACTGAGTGCAGGCATCTGCAGAAGATGGGTCCAGGCCCCAGCTGGGTGTCACTCCCTTCGTTCAAGTGTTTCTAGCAGAGGCCTTAGAGATCACAGCAAGAGACAAGCCACTCCCATTCATCCTTGTTCAGACACAGGACACTACAGAACCTGTGAGCACAGAGATACAATGGTGACTTCATGACCCTCCACAGTTGGATAGATTTCCACACAGTAATATATAACTGGGATACTAAATCTTTAGGAGAAAAAGCTCCGATGTAGTCCTCAGATTCAGCAGAGGGAGGAATGGTTTAATGATTCTCATTAAACCATATCACAGGACCTCTCACCTCTTCCTGTCTCATCTTTCTTATTTTCCTTCTCCAGAAATAAAGCCTTCTCTGAACCAGTCCCAAGAAGTCTCCATTTTGAAGCATAAATTCACTGATGTCCTTCATTTCATTTTCTCCTATGTAAATGAGTTCTCATATACCAGGTCCACAGAACAGACAGATCAAAAATTACAAAGAAATCCAATTATGCCTAGGCCACAAAATTCTTATTTGATAAGAAACAGCATAGCTGAGGACATATTGAGGACTACTCTCCTAAGGGGAAAAAATGTCATAATCAGTAGAGATATTGAGTGATTCTATTAATCTAAAAGACCTCTCTTGTGAAATTGTTTGGGGTGCTAAGGATTAAAATCAAGGCCTTGCACATGCTAAGCACATTCTCTACCACTGAACTTCATCCCCCACCCTTTCTTTGAGTTTTTATGGATTGCACTTGAGCTGGCTTGGAGCTACCTGACACGAAGGACAGAAGAAACATACACAAATGATGAGGTTGCTTTTGAGGGAAACACATTTCTTTAGGAATAAAAGAGAAACTGATTATTTGCTTCCCAGTCTACAGTGCCTAGCCTGGGAAGGGAGGATAGATCTAGAAAACCTGGCTCTGTTTTCATATCCTGATTGCAGAAAGACTATGGTTTCATCATTTCTCTTCCTGTTGAACTTTTCTGGGAAATAATGGGAGACTGGCATTTAATCCTTGGCATATCCTTAACATCTGAAAATGTTGATGGGGTTGCAAGGATGCAGTATGCAAAGTGGTCTATCACTTCCACGTGGAACATAAGGGATCCTCAATCAAGTGGAGAGAACCAGGGATGACTGTCCAATGGATGAGGGGAAGGAGAATCCTAATTCCATCTGTTTCCCTAGGAGAATTTCAAAGCCCTCTGTTCTTTATTCAAACTCAATCAGAAGAGCTATTCATTAAAAGGGACCAAAAACCAACCTGGAATAGTACAAAAGGAAGCCAAGGCAGAGGCCTAGAAATTAAAAGACCCATCCAAAGAGGAAGTAGGGGATGGAATGCAGCTAGTCCATAGGTCTGTTCATCTCCTCTGGATGAGGAAATGATCTTGTGAATGGGCCTTTGAGATGCTGGCCAATTCAGACTCTGATAAAGACAATGAATAAAACCAGCTGGGATCAGTTTCAAAGACTTCTGGGTGACAGAACCGAGATCCAAAATTAACCAACCTAGAAAAATGGACAAAATTTAACAAAATGAAGATCCAAAGATGAAATCTTTGATCCTGAATGTGTCTCCCAAACCCTGCTGCAGAGGAAGGCAGGTGAGAACTTGATAACCTTAGGCCTCCCAGCCACCAGATTAGCAGGGAGTTAATGAGACCCTGGGGTGCATAAATAGCTTCAGTTCTTAGAATATGTAGGTATTCTCTGCTCTGCTTGGGACACAGCCCTTCCATCCCCATGTTTCAGTGGCTACTGGTCTAAAAGGGCAGAAGATCCCAGTTAGAGGACAGGGCAGCCCTAAGCCCAAGGGCAGTTAAGGATTCTTCTACCCCCTGAGGGCAGAGGGGGCTGAGGAACAGGTAGGGTACCAACCATGTCAAAGACCCCAGCTAACGCTCTCTCTTTAGTTACCAGCATGGTGCAGGGGAATAAACATCACTAGGTTTATGGTTGAGGCCCTGTACAAAAGAAAGGCTCATAAAAGAAAAGCATAGACATTTATTAAGTTTTATGTGCCACCAAAGAAACAGGTAGGCCTGTGTATTTTCATATGTGATTTTGATAGAAAGTAGACGGCCATGAAGAGGTATGTTTGAAGTTCAGAGGGTCTGATCCAATGGTAATAGACTGGGGGAAGCTTGGCAAGGTCCATTTGTTCAAGTTCTCTGTGACCTGTGGCTTCAGAGATGAGGATGCTCCTTGGCTACATGGCACCTTTGAACGAGGGTTGGATGACTCCTTCATGGGAGAAAGGTGAGGGAAGGTGAGAGTGGTTTCTATGATCTGTGTAAGTGGCCCCCAAGGCCCATGTGTTCAGGTCTTTGTTTTCAGACATGGTACCATTGAGAGCTGGTGGAACCTTCAAGAGGTAAGTAAGACCTAATTATAGGGAAATCAGGTCACTGCAGATGTTCTCTTGAAGGGGACATGGGGGATCCCAGCTCCTCTTCTTTCTCTCCTTTTCTTCTGAGCTTCCATGAGGTGAGCAGCTTCCTCTGCCCCAAGCTCCAGTCATGACACCTTGCTGCCATCACAAGCCCTAAAGCAACATGGCCAAATGAAGATGGACTGAAACCTCTGAAACAGCTCAAATAGACCTTTCCTCTTTTTTAAGTCGATTTTCTCAGGTATTTTGGTACAAGGACAGATGTATTGTGTTTTAGAACAGCATATCCTCAATGCCATCAATAACTCCAGGGCATAGGTTTGGGGGGTTTTTGCATTTTATTTCTGTTCTTTCTTCTAAGTTAGGGCTTAGAAACCTCGAACTAACACAGGTTCTTTTGACTATTTTGCACATTATTAAGTTCCCCTGAAACTCTTCTGGGGAAGAATCTCAAAGGTTTGGACAGGGTGTAGAAGATAAAAGGAAAAGGGAATCTCCTATGGTTAAATGTAGATATAAGTGCTATAATTTAAAGCACTGATTAATCTAATCTTTCTTGCAATCAGCTCAATGCCAATATTTATTAGGTACAAGCCTAAAAAATGGCTTTTTAAAACAAGGTCACTTAAATCCTTATGTACACTGACAAAAGGTGATTTGCTTCCAAATGTCAGTCAACTGAGCAAAGAGAAAATTTGAATTTTAGGAACTTAAAGGAAATAGAAGGATCTTGCCTGGGAACTTATAATTATTATATTCAATATTATAGCTCACAATTATCTTTTAATGATCTGGAATAATCAATTCAAAGTTTTAAAGGGCCAAAGTCGTTTAGCTGTGAAGAGGGTCATAATGCATATCGGAAGAGTGATTCATTATTTCTGTGGTGGGATTCTTAGGAAGTGTGGACATTCTGACCTCAGGTTCAGGCTGGAGAGATACAGCTGTCCCCACTGAGGATGAGGAAGGAAGTTGACCTCTCTTTTAAAGATGGTTCATGGTGGACTCTAAGTAATGGCTTCCCTTTTAGTCATTTGCCAATGAAAATGTACAGGAACAGTGGGACCCCTGCAGCCTGAGATCATGAGAGTGCACATTCCTCCTCACTCTGGAGCCTGGTGCTGCTGGGATGCATGACCACAGCCTTCTCAGGAGGCTGTGGTCAACACATGAATGCCAAGTACTGGGCACATTGAAGAGTGACCTGGAACTATTTCCCTAAAGAGAAACCTGACCTTATCCCTCAACAATGGGTAGGATTTAAACCTGCCAAGAAATGACAGCTTAAGCATGGAGATAGCCAATGTCAGAGTAGGTAGAAGACGACTGTGCAGGCTGACTGAGAGCTGAGGGGCAGATTCTTCTGGAAAGAGGTTGGGAACAGATGAGGACATCCTGGAATGCCAGATTTAAGAGCCTACCATTCTTTTTTCTCTAGGCTTTAGGTAGTTAAAAACATTGCATGAGAGCCTGTTTTATATTCTTTCATGAGAGAGCTAGATCTAATAACAAGAGGAGACACAGGGAAGGATCAAAAAAAAAAAAAAAGGTTATGACACTCACAGATCCTAGAGAAAAGAGGTGTGGACATGGTCCACATGGGCAAGTACCCGAGTGGTCAGGAGGAGGAAGACAGAGTCAACAGGATTTATTGGGGTTTCTGTGGGAATGGTAAAATAAGGCAGGGTGAACAGCTTGGGATTGGCTGGTTTGAATAGTTTTGGTAGGCTTTGGGCTATAGGGACAGCCTCTATACCTAGCTATCTTAGCTCGTCTGAGCTGCTATAACTAAATAACATATGTTGGGTGGCTAAAATAATAACAAATTTATTTTGGGGCTGGGGCTGGGGCACCCAAGACCAAGGCACCAGCTAATTCGGTGTCTTGTGAGGGCTTAGTCCCTGGTTCATAGAGGGATGATACCTTCTCTCTTTGTCTTTACATGGTGGAATGGACAAGTGATTTCCTTTGGTCCTCTTTTCTAAGGGCACTAATCCCATTCATAGGGTCTCTGTCCTCAAGATCTAATCACCTCCAAAAGGCTTCATTCACCTAATACTGAGAGTTAGGGTATCATCATATAAACTTGGGGGCATAAAAACCCAGACCCTAACTCTGGCCCTGGGATGATTAAAATAGATGGATATTGCCTCTTTGGGTGCATGGAACAGACAGAAGAAGTAGAGTTCTATGTTTGTCAGATTTCCATCACTTTAACAAAATACCAGAGCTAATCAGATTGTAAAGAGCAAATGTTGGTTTGGGCTCACACTTTTGGAGATCCCAGCTCATGTCTGATGGGCCTCTTTGCTTTGGACTTGTGTCAAGTCAGCTCATCAGGTGAGGGGCCAAACAAATCACCTGAAGGCCAGAAAACAAACCAACAAAACAACAACAACAATAGCTAAAAGGTAAAGAGGGGGAAGGGTCCCACAATCTCTTCAAAGGCATGCCTCCAATGACCTCCTAGAGATTCCATCACTTCTTAATGGTGCCCTGGTGGTCAAGGCTTTAACACAGTCTTTGGGTGACATTCCAGATCTTCCCTACAGTAGGCTCTGAATGGTTTGTTTGCATGTCAAAGGCAAGCTCCCTGCTGGGCACTTTGCTCCCTCCAAGAATTGTCTAGTCCCAGGAGTAGCAGTCCCTCCCCAGGCAGAATGTTTTTTAAGATGTCCAAAGGTCACGGTGTACATAAAATTTAACAATATAAATAACACGGAGCACAAGAGAACAGTGCTGTCACCAGGAGCTAGTTAGGTCTTGCTTCGTTGCCGTCAAGCTTTGCCACGCTGAAACTCATGCTGAGTTGGAGAACTTCTGTCATACAAGGTAAAGCTTGGAGATGGTAAGGATCTAAATCAGGGCTTTGCAGAAAGAACAGGGAGGATGGCAGGGGAGAAGAGCAGGGACTTGCTGAGTTTCTCAATGAAGTGATTTCCAGGGAGCAGATGGATATGTCTTCCATCAGTTCATCCACTTA